CTTAAACCAACTCATCGGCAGTGCATCTGCACGATAACCTGTCGCAAAGAATGCTACATCATTGCACAAGGACAGACGCTCTAGAAACACCCCCCTTCATCATAGGTACTTTGACCCGCTTCATCTTTGGTTATGATCTACAGTAAACGATCGGTAAATACAAACTTCATCAGCAAGGTCACCTACTCTCCCTGCTTTGGTTACATTACCATCCCCTCTACCTTTAACAAACCGAAAGCTGATAAATGTCCTGTGTGCTCAGAATGAAACTGCTTAAGCCAACTCATTGCCAGTGCACACTGTGCGCTCACCTGTCGCAAAGGATGCTTCATCATTGCACAAGGACAGACTCAGCAGGAATCCCTCTTTTCCAAGTTTCTTCTCCTCCTGACTTTAATGTAATGCCAACGCTGAACGTCGCCTACCACACAAGGTACTGTGCGGTCAGAATGACTGTGGCAAACGATGCACTTCTAAAGTGCACGTTGCACACTAACCTGTGGCAAAGGATGCACCCCTAGAGTGCACACTCAGAATAAAACTGCTTAAACGAACTCTTTGTCAGTGCAGTGTCCCCTAACCTGTCACAAAGGATGCTTCAGCATTGAACAAGGACGGACCAAGCAGGAACCCCTCTTTTCCGAACTTTTTCTCCTCCTGACTTTAATGAACTGCCAATTATAGACATCTCCTACCACACAAGGTGATTGCACGCTCAGAGTACACGTGCACTAACCTGCTAACCTATGGCAAAGGCTGTGCCCCCAGGGTGCACGCTCCACACAAGGACGGATCACACAAGATACTGCCTAAACCGACTCATTGGCAGTGCAGGCTGCACTCTAAACTGCGGCGAAGGATGCTTCGCCATTGCACAAGGAGGAACCAAGCACGAGACACCTTTTCAATGAAATCCATGCAAATCTTCTCCTCCTGCCATTAACAAACTGCTAATGCCAAACATCTTCTAGCACACCAGGTCCTGCATTCTCACAGTGAAACCGCTTAAAACCAACTCTTTGGCCGTGCACACTGCACACTAACCTGCGGAAAAGGCATGCTTCATCATTGCACAAGGACAGACTGAGCGCGATTCACTCTTTCTTTTCTCAGTGTAGTCCATGCAATCAGTTCCACGTTAGTCGTCCATGTGCTATAAAATTTAGGTTTGAACAGGGCTAAGACGTCCCAAACCATGACAAGAAAAGCCGGCCATGTCATGAACTAAGTCAGCCATACATTGCAGTTGGGAGTCCTAGTACTGCCATGCACAGCACATTCTAGGTACATCACTTTCTGAGAGGCAGGTGCTCAGTGAATACAAACTGTTTAAAGGTCATGTACTCTCCCTGTTATGAGTGGGTTCTCATCTTCGCACCATCAACAACAGCACATCTTCAATTACAAGTCCCTTGCAGAGTACATCCCAAGTACATGAACTCACCACAGTAGCGATCTAAAGTAGGTGCTACGTAAGCACACAATGCTTCAGCAATCTTCACACCGTTAACAAAACCACACATCTTCAATCACAAGACCTTTGCAGAGTACATCCTAGGCGCATTAACACAACTTGCCCACAACAGCGATCTAATGTAGGTGACTGCTTCAGCAAAGTCATTTACCCTCCCCCTACATTGGTTGCATTCTCATCCTTCTGCATTTTCAAAAGGAAAAGATGCTCAACATCTTCTACCAGTGAAGGTCCTGTGCGCTCAGAGTGAAACTGCTTAAGCCAGCTCATCGGCACTGCATGCTGCATGCCAACCTGTCGCAAAGGATGCTTCATCATTGCACAAGGAGGAACACAGTCAGGACCCCCCTCTTCAAATTTAGCCCATGTAATCATTCCCAACATTGCAATAAAAATATAGGCCAGACCAGCAGGGAAGACTGCTTAATACATGTCAAGAACGAAGTTGGCCATGCCATGAACCAACAAAGCAGCATAAATAACTCCCATGCCCAACACATTCTAGGTACACCTAAACCAATTTGTGACAGACAGGTGCTCAGAGAATACAAACTTCTTAACCACGGTCATTTACTCTCCCTTCTTAAAGGCAATCTCATCCTTGCACCATCACAAACAAAATAAGCAGCACATCTTCAGTTACGATTCCCTGTGCACTCAGTGTCAAACTGCTTAAACCAACTCTTCTTTAGTAGACAGCACTAACCTGTCCTACCGGAGTCCAAAGTTTTGATTCACAGTAGTCCAGGCTGGCAACTGAGGTCAATTCTACGGGGAAGGTGAGACAGGAGCTCAGGAGAATATTCGACGAAAATCTGAACACATAAGATGGATATATCCATGACACACCCAAAGATATAGGTGCTGAAAGTTGGCTCTCACACTAGCAGAAAGGAGGCGTACATGCAAGAGGCCTCCTCACTCGAGCAACACAGGTGAAGAAAGGCGAAGGAAGCAGTGCTGGGCTCTACCGCGTACATGCAAGAAGCCTCCTCACTCAAGCAACACAGGCGAAGAAAGGCGAAGGAAACAGATTCCGACTGCGCTCTTCAAGAGCTGTCAGAATCCGCAATAAAATTTTCAAGGTGCAATATTTTTCAGGGGGCTTCCAGAGGGGGGCAGAGGGTTATTATTGACATATTCAGTCAACTATGGCTTTCACGGGGAGGGGTCAAGTAAGCAAGTTCACTTATCCAGCCCCCCCGTGGCTGGAGCACTTCGTGGAGTGTGTCATTTGACATTGACACCCCACGAGCTGAACCATATAAATGAGAGGAGGTCCTTACCAGCAGTTATAGCTCTTCCAGAGTATAACTCGACAGCAGAGGAGTTATGGTTCCAGCTTTCCGCTTGTGGAGGCAGAGCATTTTCTGTTTGCTGGTTTCTACATCAGGTGAGTTATCAGTCCGGAAGTATCTTGCCTGGAAGTCTGTCCAGATACATGTAGTGGAGCCAGGTCCATTCTTCGGCTTGCACCTCGGACGTCTCTGACATCACGATTCCAAAATCCGAACCCATGACTTTTTCCACAGATTTTTCCACAGATGGCAGGGACGTTGCAGAAGGATATAATCTCAGCAGAGCCTCATCACAAGCATAGTGTTCCCCTCATGTCTGCGGGTGAAAGAGCATCAGACGTTGCCAATGGTAACTGGTCCGTTGGACCACAAGATGACAAATAGGAGAAGGGGCCTACCCAACCCACATCTTAAGAAAAATGTGTGGCAGTTCTCGGCTGCTGATCTGCAAAGATCAGCGTCAGATATACTCTGACCGTTTTTCTCAAGGAATGGGGTCCTGGCCAATCTTTCGCGCTGAACTGCGACGATCGGCGGCCAAGATTGGCCACTTTTTGGCCTTGAAAAATCCGTGCCTACAGGAACCGGTTTCGAAATTGCAGGGCAGGGCCCACCCCCGCAAGCCCTCGGAAGCACATATGCGCCAACAAAAAAAAAATTCAGGCCCCAGCAAAAATGTGCTGGGGGCAACGGGGAGGGAACTGGCCGGGGCCACCGGCCGTTCCAACCAGGAGGACCGCGGATGGGGTAAGGGTCCCCGGTCCATCCGGGGACCAGCCCTGGAAGGAAGTAGTAGCAGCAGTAGTAGTCGTAGTAGTAACAGTAGTACTAGTGGTAGAAGAACAAGAAGCCTCCCCCTCCTCACCTCATACGTCTACAACAACACAATGTTGCAGTCGTGTCCAGGGGCCACTCTCCTCAAATTGACCCAACTCTCTCTCTCTCTCTCTCTCTCTCTCTCTCTCTCTCTCTCTCTGTGTGGATGAGAGTACAGACCGGTGAAAGGTAGCACCTTGAATCGCTGATGCCTTACAGTGCTTGGCCACAGTCCAACACCCAAACAGCCCCAGCTGATGCTGTGGCTGGGAAGCTGTGTTGCTCCTCCACAGACCCTCAATACCCTGCTTTCAGTACTGTACCCTCACTGGACAGGATCAGGGCGCTTGTCCAGACCATGTGCATGGCTCAGCACTGCATTGTGAAACGGGTGAGACCCTTGTGAACTGCCCTGTGTGCTAAGCTAAAACCAGGCACACCCAGCCCAGGCCACGACCATCTGCTGGACCGACACTCGAACCTCACGACCTCACAACCTCACGACCTCATCTTCTTTAATTCTGAACACTCAACTCAACCTCAACAGTGAAGCAAACCTTGCCAAACTACGTGGCCGCCGCCTAGCATTCTGTATCACCAACATTGAATCAAGTCTACAGAGGGAAGCAGGACAACCAATAGAGAGACGCCACAAACAAATGGGCTACTGGTTGGTGGTACAGATTCAAAAGACTGGATGTCCAGGACAACCGGTAGAACCCAAGGAAGCCTATACACAGCACAACTCCAGCTGTCAAGAAAACTCTATCAATGTTACCAAGGTAGAGAGAGTGCCGAGCTTTCTGCCAGCACCGTTCTTTCACCCACTAAAGCTTCTTGCCGTCATCAATTCCACAAGCGCAATCTTACGCCGGTACAATCTCAATACACTGACCTGCAGTACCGAGCGCAGCAATGCTACACATCATTATAGAAAGCACCATCCCACAACATCGCCTGCACTCCCTCTTTACACCTAAGAGGTTGGTTCCTTCACCGAATCATTGGCAAAAGCCCCCTGAGACCTCGCTTCTGGAACCCTTCAGACCACCAGTTCACACAACCCTTGCAAGGCTCTCGATCCTGCAACCGCACATTTTGAAAGTGACCTACCACTTCCTCTCCCCGCCCGAGCGCAAATCGAAATGCTCTTACCACGTCTACCTGTGAGAGCGCTACTCTAACCCAGACCCATCGCTTCTTTCCACCTGGTAATCCAGTTGAGTACAGAGCTGTGAAGACAGTCGGAACTTGCCAACTGGGACTTCGCCCGAAGGAGTACCGGATGAGCAACAGCGAGTTCATTTTTTGTTCTCCTATTCGCTGATACCTGTGAGGACAGCACTCTGGGGTACCGGATGAGCAACAGCGAGTTCATTTTTGTTCTCCTATTCGCTGCTACCTGTGAGGACAGCACTCTGCTTTGGGTGAACTCGCAATTTTACCAAGACCATCCGTTCCTCCTGGCTGTCAATCAAGTTGAACACAAAGCTGTCGAGACAGTCGTAGCTTGACAACCAATCCGAATACAGTTGCCAAGGGATTGACTGCTCCTTTACTGTGGGGACCACAGTCAGCAACCCACATGAAGCAGGCAGCCTGAAAAAGAATGCAGTCCCCATTCACGGTCTTTGCATATTCATCCAACGGAACTTGTACACACATTGCTTTACAGGATTTCAGGTTTTCCGTAGCTGAGACCTTTGCATATGGTACAATCATTGATAAAAGCCACAGTCCGAATAAGCCCTGAGACCTCGCTGCGGAAACCTGTTGTTCAAAGGCCATCACTGCTCGCCACCCATGGATCCTGTCAGCATAGAGCAATTGACGATGTCAAAGGTTCAAATTGAGTTGTACTTACAGCACTTGCCGACCCCCGTGCCGAAGGCCAGGAGCACGTGCATCCTATCAAGATTGTACATACCTTTTTTTCTTTTTTTTTTCTTTTTTTTTTCTTTTTTTTCAGGCTAGGACAGGCCATCTTCCAAGTTTCTTTTTCGGTCCATTAGATTGCATCTGGATTTATACTTGGGTGTGCCTTTCAACAGTTCACCGGTGTACCGACTGCGCTACGTCCATTGGTTCGATTGTACATACCTTTTCCACAGCGAATTCTCATCACGGCTTCCCAGCCTGTCTCCCTCACAAGGTCGTTTGTGAGCTCTTTCCTAAATCTTTCACCATCTCTCTGTGCAGAGAAGGCAGGATAGTAGAAAACTTGACCACCAGTGTACTTGGCCAAGGTTCCTGCCAATGAGACCACAACGACAGAGTACAAAACAGAAGACAAGACACAGATAATGTCATGTCACAGAAACAGGGAGATATCGTTCTCATAGAAGATCGACTCTTGGGTTCGTGCGGCATTTCCACATATCATTATGATCAATGAATGAGACTTGGCCTGAAAGTCTTCTTGCCTTTATCATTAGCTTGAGTAGTTTTTTGTATCTGGTGTTTTAGTATACTTTGACTGGCTACCTTAACCACTGCCGGTATTTACTCTTAGGTGTATCCCTCTCATCCATTTTGGTGTGGAATTTCTCTCTCCAAGTCTTCTTGTCATTGCAACTGCGTATGGGAACTTGAAGATGCCAAGCTGCTTTTAATTCAATCAGGCACATAACACCCTCCACTGAGAGATGGCAACTGCCCATTCAATTCAGGCTCCACTGTTGTCAACAAAACAAAGAACAGGACACCCAAAGCCAGACAACCACATGACAATCTACGACGCAAGGTCCAGACCTCGCATGCATTCACAGTCGTATTATAAAGAAGCTGTTTCACAGACATTGGGATAACATGAAGATATGCATGCGAGAGAGCTGATGGCATGCCCTGCAAGCACCTATGAGAGAGAGAGAGAGAGAGGAGAGAGAGGGCAACGACGACACACCTAGTGAGGCAATGTCTGAGTATCTGTCGGAGAAGCAATACATGTTGACACTGATCTGAACACGGTAACAGTCCGCCGCCATTCTCTTGTAAAACTGGTCTTCGGCACCACGCAGAAAATGTTCACGGTCCGTCCCATAGATCCTGTAGTCATCCCCACGCAGCTTCAGCCTTCCAATACCTAACGATGGAAGACCACTCTGGAACACGAGCAGCTTGCCTCCAAGTTGACTCTGCACAGACATATAATAAATACAACTCATCATACCGTCTTCCACGATCGAACCGGACAAGAGGGCAGAAAACAACCACCAAAAAGGGCACAAACGCAGTACAAAGACAAGGCATCCAAAAGCACCTGCGTTCCTACAGGTTGCAATCAATGTGAGGCACCCCTTGACAGCAATTCCTGAAGAATAGCTACACTATAGCCTAAAGATGTTTCCCACGCAAATTCCTATTGAGCTCCGTCAGCAAGTTTCTCCGCAAATTCCTATCGAGCTCCGTCAGCAAGTTTCTCCGCAAATTCCTATTGAGCTCCGTCAGCAAGATTCTCCTGCAGCTTCAGGACAAGGCCTGGCTCCGTCAATCATAAGGCATTGTGTTGTATGCTAGGAAGCAAGAAGAAATAATTAGAATCACCAATAGTTGAAAATTCTCGCATGTCACTCCTCCCTTTGTTCGTTATATGCATGATGATAGCCCAACAAGATCTCCCAGCCATGGAATCCAGTAGCTATAAAGAATGTAGCGCGGTACTATATATCCCATCGGAAATCGTAAAAGGAGTTAGGTTCCTGGTGCACATCGTTTCCCAGACCGAAAATGAACTACCACATTACCAAGATTGGGGTGCAAAATCTATAATATAGCACAGTTTTCTGCTTAACATCATGCATGGGGTACAAACATCATGACATACCGATTTCAACATAGCGCAGTTTTCAGCTTGAACAACATAGAGAGATGTGGTTGAAGTAGCGCACGAACTCATCCACAGGCGGAAAAACTCGAAGAAATGAAAACAAAAATTATCATGCAGACTATAGAGGGCGAAATTTCAGAAGGCTATTCTCACGAAATTTCAGAATAAGGTATTGGCCAGTGGCAAAGTTGCGACTATAGAGGGTCAGAGACTGATTTTTCATTGGTTTAAGGAGGACAGATCAGAGGTGTCCTCGGAGATCCAAGGAATGACACAGGAAATAGGACTACCATAGGGATAGGAAATGGGAGAGACAGTGAAGACCAGTGGATTGATGTTTAAGCAAAATAAAAAGCT